GACCCAATTTCTTAAAGCTGCTTACCGGTAATCAAATTTTCGTGCTATAACTGTAGCAGACAAATTTGGTTAGCAAGAAAACAAGGCGTCCACCTTGTGTGTTCACAATGGATTTGCATTGTTACAAAATTAATTTTCGTCCAGTATAAGCAGCGTAAGGTTAATGCATTTTCGTGTGCTTACGGTTAGCAGTGCTATGAAGTAGAAACTCATACGTAAGCACAGAACCAGCCGATAAGCAGCTCTATAAAATATGGCTCTGTATAGTCAAAGTGGTGGTACACGGGTCTTTTAATTAAAAAATAAAATAATGACCACTTAAGTGTCAAAATAGAGGCAAAGTTTATTTTAAAAAAGAAAACATCACTTTTGTTGGCCTAATATGACCTTGAACTTGACCTTATTGCAAATCCCTGAGCTTTGGCGATCTCAAAGTATTGCGTAATGAATTGGCATCCCCAAGTTAGTTGGAAATGACACCTTAAACGTTTTTCTAGACTATTTGGTTCAAAAGTTACCACGTTTGTACATTGGCCATGCGGACTGGCGGCCATTTTGGATTTGACCTCTCATGGTCATCGGAGGTCACATCAAACTATGAAATAAACTAACTGAAAAGGGTTAAGGTAGGGGACTCTGCAGGGGAACCATTTCTTAATAAATTTGAGAACATAGGGGAGAACAAAATGGGGATTTAACCTTCAGTAACTGCCATTCAAAACTTGCTATATTTGGTCAATTTTGACCTTGACCTTAACCTTAATGCAACACCCTGAGTTCTGGCGATCTAAAAAGTATTACCAAATGAATTTGCATCCCCAATTTAGTTGGAAATGACACCTTAAACGTTTTTCTGGACTATTTGGTTCAAAAGTTACCGCGTTTGTACATTGGACCATGCGGACTGGCGGCCATTTTGGATTTGACCTTTCAGGGTCATCAGAGGTCAAAAAAAAAATTGAAATAAACTACCTGAAAAGGATTAAGGTGGAGGACTATGCAGGGGAACCATTCCTAAAGAAATTTGAGAACAAATGACAAATCTCATTTGTAACCATTCAAAATTTGCTATTTTAAGTCAATTTTGACCTTGACCTTGACCTAAATGCAAAACCCTGAGTTCAGGCGATCTCAAAAGTATTACCAAATGAATTGGCATCCCCAAGTTAGTTGGAAATGACACCTTAAACGTTTTTCTGGACTATTTGGTTCAAAAGTTAAGCGTGTTTGTACATTAGACCATACGGACTGGCGGCCATTTTGGATTTGACCTCTCAGGGTCAGCAGAGGTCAAATCTGACTTCCCTCCACATCTGAAAATAAATCTTATGGTCTAAACTAACTATGCTAGAAGTTTCATGCTTTTATCAAAAAGTGCACAATTTTCTTGCTAAGCCGCTGCACTACATCCACTTAATTTATTTTATTCATTTAATCGTTCTGGTATCCGACTTCGGGGGGGGGGGGGGGGGGGGGGGGGGGGGGGGTAAGCGGCACTTTTTTTTGGGGGGGGGGAGTCCAAAAAAAATCGCAACGACTCAACCAGCTGAAAAGTCGCTCAGTGGGGGGGGGGGGGGGTAGTGAGCACATTTTTTTTTGGTCCTCGAAAATTTTAAAATTTGCACCCCCCCCCCCTTGAGCGCCAGGGGGGGGGGGGGGGTAAAAGGTAAAAATCGCGTGATTTTACATGATTTTTTTCTCAAGGGGGGGGGGGCCCGGGCCCCCGGGCCCCCCCCCCCCCCCCCCCCCCCCCCCCCTGGATCCGCCACTGTCATGTACCAATGACCATTTTTTTCGCTTCATTATCTTTTGCATGTATTTGTTCCTTATTTCATTCTATAAACGTGATGAATTTATTTCTTGCACTTATGTATTTTGTTGAATATGACTGTAACGCCAGTGGAAAACAATTTTCTATGTAACTTGTTTTCAACGACCAAATAAAATATCTTGTATCTTTTATCTTGTATTTATTTCTCTCTCCAGTTCCCCTCCCTCTTTTTAAATACTTTTCTCTCCAACACACAAAACACTATCTCGCATATGCTCCTCTCTGTTACATGTATTATCATGTATTTGTACCCCCTCCCCAGTGTACCCGCCCTCCCCCTTCAAACCTGCATAATCTGCCACTTACCAATGTTTAAGCCGAGGGTGAAATCTATGTACCGTCCCTCTGGTGTTAAATACATGCCTGTACCCGTTGATGACAATGGGTTAAATTATGACTGTATTATAATTATACCCTCCCCGCACCTTGATTAACTTTCAAAAACACTTATGAGAGGGATATCAATGCCAGACGTATATTCTAATGATTTATTAAACATTTATTTGCAAACTCTATGATTCTTTTGCAAGTAAAATTATATTAAGCTGATAAACGATATGGTAGAGAAATAGACATGAGTGATAAATTGAGGAAGACAAAGAAATTGTATTAGAAGCTTACACATTCGAAATGAAATCAAAAGTCAAGTCACTTTATTTCTTACATAATTTTCAGACTATCATCAACATAAAACTCCCCCGCCATTGTAATGAGAATTGCATATTAATTAAAATATAAAATATAATTTTTATGATCAACTAACATTTGCCAAGTGCTAAACAGCAAAACATACATTTGCAATTCGAGGAAACACAGAAATCAAGAGTTGCTTGATTTGGTATGCCCACTAAGCCCATAAGATATTTCACGCCGATACGCCTGCATACTGTACATACGATTAGTGTTTATTTACGTTCAATGCGAGGAGCATTTCTGTATACAGAGTACTAACGATTGATGTAACAAGTGCAAAGTAGTACATGCTCATCTATTTTGTACTTATTATTGACATATCTATAAATTACAGAAGTTCCTTTCATAGTTAATATTTGCATTCCCAGTGTATGACCACATCTATGTACAGCCAAATGAGTTTTTAGCTAATATTATAGTATTAAGCCAACCGGTTATAATGTTCTACCGTTTAGGCCTACATCTACCATGTCTACATCTAAGTCTTCTTTTAAAATCTGCGTTTAACCTAAATATTTTAGGAAATGAACAATAGATCAGTTGAAATATGTTTAAGGTCGCAATATCAATAACGGTACTATGGAAAACGACATAAATTTAGATATAAGACATATTGAAAGATACTATGGATAAAATCAGAATTATAATTGCAAACATTACAACGAACAATTTTAGCTTCAACACCAAAAGTATCATAGGAAAAAAACATGTAGCAGTTAATATACAGCAATGCAATGTCATAATGGTAGGATGCATGGTATGCTTCAACCACGGTATGACAGGTTTTAGAAGAGATGTTTTTTAACAAAATTCATGATGTAATGACTTTTTTTCTCTCTCTCATTGTTTTCCCCTTTTCTTTTCTTTTAGTTTTACATGCATTCAAAACATTAAAAGCGGTTACAGATATTTTTGAGATCTGGTCAAGCAACTGTCTGAAGAAAAAAAATCGACAGCTGATTGTGTTTTATATAAACACTGTTGTATACCTTATTATTACGGCATCACCAACATGAGAGGAAATTGACACATTCTTGACGCAGTCTTGCTGCAAAGCACATGCTCACGCACATAAAATACACACACATACGCACGCACACATGGCTTGGCAGTTTGGTCCAAATTCTTTAGTTTTCATATATCAGGCATAAATTTTCATTTTATTCTTCCCTATCTCTATTTCCTTCTTTCCTAAGCGCATAGGGACTTTTTTGTGTTGGTGATATGCGCTATAGAAGTAACGTTCTGATTATCGTATCTTGTCATATTTCCAATTTGAAGAATTTAAATATACATTTTCTTTTCTTTGTGATATGCTTTTTGCGCTGTTCCATCGGGTCTTCGCGTAGATAGGTCGTATATTCCCTATGTGTCTCCGTCTAATTTACCGCATCCTTATTGTGTAATATCGATTAGCATATATTTTCCGTTCCATAAAAGACTAATCGTCAACATTCCACGTAGTTTAAATTTCATCGACTACATAATTTAGAATAACACTATTTACTGCTATACTTAGCGGACAATAAATTGTGAATATGGCAACGAAAAATTTAGAACAAATCAATAATACTTCTAACAGACACCAGGTAAATGACGAGTTTACCAGGCGTATCAAAGACCAAGAATATATGAGACCGAAAACAAGTAAAAGAAACCGTTTAAATATGCGTAGACAAGTTTGGACATATTGGACATGGCCCGAATAACAACTAACACGCCTTTGTATACATATACGTTCAGTACGTCGATGTATACACGTACGTGTAAAAATATTTAAAAACAGAGATAAACAAAACCGTAAAGAAACTGTAGTGTGATAGATAAACTTATGTACAGAGTGTAGTTGTGTATTATACCATCAATGTTTATACTCTTATTTAAGTTATTCATTATTTCATATTCATTCATTGATTTCGTTATTCTTTCATATATTCGTCTATTTACTTATCTATTTCAAAGTGGCAGTAGAAACACAAACAATTGAATTGCTCCGGTTATAATAAGTGACTCTTGTAATAACTACTAGAATTAATTGAATTTCTATATCCAGATATCTTCTTTATCTTGCCAAAAAGAAAATTCAAATGTACATTAAAAAAACATCACGCTCTGCATGCCATTCTTGTATATTTGTTGAAATTACATATACGGTGTTTGTATACAATATGGTTCAGTGAATGATTATGAAGTTGTATGTCTATTACTCTTTTCAACCATCTCAGCAGTAGATAGTGTGTAAACAAAAAAGTCAACTGGATTTACTTCTTTTCGCTTTCGACGTCTTCCGTCCACAGACGCTTCATCAGGCCGACCATGCCGACGTTCCTTGACCACGTCACCGTGTTCATGGGTCAACAATCATTTGGCGCTAAAGACCATTCGCCCTGATGAAGGGTCCCGGAGTGGACCTAAAACATCGTAAGCTAAAATAATGTTAGTAAACTTGACTTGATGAAGGTTCTCTGGTGATTCCTTATACACTGAATGCTTTCTGGGAAACATCCATTATTATCTTTACGAGGAAAATGAGCAATATTTTCTCCGGAGATGTATCAGTAAGAACAAGTTGAGAAATCAGATCTTCTTCGTTACTTATGATTCCGCCTACGTGGCTTGTATCCAAGATGGTGGATTCCTCGTTGGGATTCCCACCATAAGATACCAGCGGGGCAATCTCAGACATGTCGTCAGGTAGGACTTGCATCCCATGGCTGGGCGATTGTTCAGAAAGGTGAATGCTACTTACGTTGTTCATATCATCACCAGGATGAAATTCTTCAGAGGACACTTCTTCAGAAGTCACCTCAGATTCATCGAAGTCCTCTGTACTGCGCTCCGGTGATTGGTCAAGATGTTGATTCCTACTTCCATCTGTCAAGTCCTCCTGGGTTTTGGAAGCCATGTTTCCTTTATGTCCATCTCGAGGAGTTTGGTTACTGCTTGTTGTAGCTTCTTGAAGTGCCTGGATGTCAGTGTATCCTTTGGTCCGGTCCCGTTCTAGAGAGGTATCATCTCTATTAAAGAGCTGTTGATTATTGACGTCTTCGTTGGCATATTCAGAATGGATCTGTTCTTCTGTTACACCTGACCGGCAGCAAGAAAGAAAAAAAAAGAAAAATAAAACATTACTCAAAACACATGATTGCGTACAACTTATCGCAGTGAATTTCAAATTTCTTTTACTTTTATGTTTACCAGGTAGTAGAAGCGAACTTGACGCATCTGTTTGACTTGTTCGTGTGCACAGCTATAATGAGGAAAGTGCTAACTTCAAGTAGTACCTAAATTTTCTTTTCCTTTGTTTTCTCTGCATTACGTCACCTTAGTAATTGGATCAGCAGTGTAAATGTGGGAAATGAACTTGTTAAAAAAAAAAACTATCAACCTGACTCTAAACACATGGGCCGTATTATACTCCAAATATAACAGCATGTTGCTAAATAGTTGAATGGGGTCCGTATTACGAAACTGAAATTGTTTATAATGATAATACACGTTACCTTCGCCGAGGTACAGGTCTGCAAGGTTGACCAACTTGGCAGCTTTTAGTGCCTTCGTTAGCTCAATCCGTTCATCTTCCCTGTACACACCTCTTCTCCATTGTTTCAGCATATGACGAGTTCCATCACTGGTAACACGGTTGAACTTCACATTGGTCATGAGCGCTCTCTGTATATCACCATGTAGGATTCCCAGCTGACCAGCAAGGCTGTCGATCTTGGCTTCATCGTAAAGATCGTCAGCTATCTGCTGTAATATGCCAGCAAACTCATCATCTGGGGGCTCCTCTCTAGAATGGTAGACAATAATAATTTTAAAAAAACAGTGGGGCGGCCAGAGAACGTAAGTATGACGTATAAACTTATTATTTGTCTTTGTTTTTGTTAATGATTTTTAATCATTTATTGACTTCTGCTTCTACACAATCACAGGTATTCATGAAATTCCAAACATAATTTTGGATTCATAGAACATAAGTGCTGCCGTACTTTTATAACTGTTATTGACAGTCTAGCATTACTCATTTTACACACAAAAGTGCATTCCATAGTAGTTTTTTCACTATAAGATAAATAATACGTTCATTGTCATGTAAAGAGTAAATATATTTCATCTCACCCTGCTTGTAATGTATCACTCCTTCCCAGTCCTCCTGTTGAATTATTCTCAAATGATGATGTGCCTGTCACGACGGAATGAAGTCAGTTTGAATAAGTAAACAATAAATAAGAGAAATGGTTCAAATGATATTTATTGTTCACTGTATCTATAAGAGTTTTGTTTTAATTCTAAAGTGTTATTAATGCACAAGCAATACATAACTCTAGTTTCATTGGATAATGTAATCGAATGACGTTACTTTTGGCATAATGACAACAAATAAAACGAGAAACATAAACATTTAGGTTTAGTACTATTATGGACTGTGATAAGCTCGATATTCTGAGTATTTTCAAAGTAGCAAAAATGGGGTAGGGAGCTATAATAAAGACCATATAATCTTGATAAGCTTCACATTATAAATATTTCAAAAAGTGACTACAAATGGAATATGATTTATATAGTATTATGTATAATTAAAAAAAAAGGAGTTGAAAGGGAAATGAAAATAAAGTCTTACCACCCTGAGCTTGTTTTCCAGAAGTCACCCACGGAATCAAACTCCATTGATGTGTCTCTGCTTTCTTCTTCTGCTCTGCTGATCGTATCTCACTATCTAGTTGAATTTTGGTTCTCAGCTTCCAGGTCTCACGCTTAAGTTGCTCCAAAAGCTGTTCCTTATAGTCATGCTTTTTCTTCCAGCTTAATTCTATTGACCGTTTGTCTTTCTCAGCTCTTGCTCTGTATTCCTCTCTTCCTTTCTTAAGTTCCTCAGCTTGCTGGCTTAGCGTCGTCTCATTTCGCTCTTTCTTCCCTACGGTTTGTGTCAAAGTGTCTACATTCTGTTGCTTAGACTTGAGTTTCTTCGTCATTTCTGCTGCCATTGAGTGCTTGTCTTTTTCAGCTCTTGCTCTGTCATCCTCTCTCTCTTTCTTTAACTCTTCAACTCGTTGTCTTAGAGTCGTCTCATTTCGCTCTTTCTCCCCTACGATTTGTGTCAAAGTGTCTACATGTTGTTGCTTAGACTCGAGTTGCTTTGTCATTTCTGCTGCCAATGAGCGCTTGTCTTTTTCGGCTCTTGCTCTGTCTTCCTCTCTTCCTTTCTTTAGCTCTTTAACTTGCTGTCTTAGAGTCGTCTCATTTCTCTCTTTCTCCCCTACGGATTCCGTCAAATTGTCTACATGCTGTTGCTTAGACTCAAGTTTTGTTATCATATCTGCTGCCAATGAGCGCTTCTCTTTTTCAGCTCTTGCTCTGTCTTCCTCTCTTCCTTTATTTAGCTCTTCAAGTTGCTGTCTTAAAGTCGTTTTATCTCGCTCTTTCTCCCTTACGGTTTCCGTCAAATTGTCTACATGCTGTTGCTTAGACTCAAGTTTTGTTATCATATCTGCTGCCAATGAGCGCTTCTCTTTTTCAGCTCTTGCTCTGTCTTCCTCTCTTCCTTTATTTAGCTCTTCAAGTTGCTGTCTTAAAGTCGTCTCATTTCGCTCTTTCTCCCCAACGGTTTGTGTCAAAGTGTCTACATGCTGTTGCTTAGACTCGAGTTTCTTCGTCATTTCTGCTGCCAATGAGCGCTTCTCTTTCTCAGCTCTTGCTCTGTCTTCCTCTCCTCCTTTCTTTAATTCCTGTTCTCGCTCTTTGACCTCTGCGAACATCTTCTGATTTGCTTCTTTCGCCTCTTTCTTGGTTTTCTCATTGAGCAACTTACATCTTGGATTCGTGCATATATTCTTCAGATCATTAGCTGCTAACGTTCTGTCGCCTTCATAAAGGCATCCACGTAGAAGGTCAAGCCACTGCAACTGATCCTCATCTGAGAGAGAGCCACCAGGATCAGGTATTTCGTACATATCAGTGATCCCGAGATGCTTCAATTCATTTCTCGCTGCTGGGATGTCTCCGTAGGCATATATACCACATAGAGGGACGCGGCCTATTCAATCGAAATATATTCAATGAGTTTACTCGAAATTACGTCCAAAGTCACGATATGTTTATGACATCTACATACCACACATATGTCCAAAATGTCTTTTTTTCGGGGGGGGGGGGTGGTTGACACAAAGGAATGGAGAAAATCTTAAATGCTTCTTCATCTATGTGGGTTTTTTTTTGTATTCTCACTGGCATCGAAATTGTCGCCATATATTGTAAAAATAATGAGCAAAATCGAGTGAGAAAAGTAGGGAGAGAGAAGAGAAGGGTGATAAAGGAAGGAGACCGAAGAGGAGCCGGTATAAGGAGTAAATGGAGTGAGTAATGAGATAGTAATACATTTACAACTATGGTATGTAAATAAAAATGTAATATTCATGGTAGGAAATCTAGTCAGGACAATCATGACAGAATAAGCTGATTATATTGTTTATGATATTGTTTAAATATACAGCAACTTCGACAATCAAAAAGATGAAACATGATTGCTAAATACATTTGCAACTATAATAAAGCAAATGAAATATAGTATTCATGGTAGGAATAAAATAGACCGATGGTATTGTTTATGATATTGTTTAACTACTACAACTTCGATGTAAAAGAGAAGATGAAACAAGATTAGGAAATCTAAAGATCTGTAGTTAGTGACAATTAATAAATAAATTAATGAATGAAATCAAGACCACGTTTGGTTCGATTGATATAATATCGGTATTTGATGTAAGCATTGCCATAATTATATTTAACTTGAATCACCCCCATGCCTCAGCTCACAATAAGAAAGCTGTATTCAGTACAAGGAAAATGGATATTAATCACCAAATTACATGTCATAGTATACTAGCAGATAAGGGGAAGGTATATTTCTATTTCATGCTTAATTTATGTTTCATCCAAATTTAATGTCATTATTGTTTCATATTTTTTATGTTCAAATTGTTGACTGTGGATTGTCAATTCATGGCCTTATGTCTCACACGTACATCCATGGTCAGATGATTAAATTCAACCTTGTCAATACGGGGGCGTGTAAATGTCTTTGGGGGAATGGTACATAGTCTCAAAACCCAAAATCTTGTATTAAAAATCACCGTGATTATTCGGTTGGTTACCGACCCAGGACATGATATGATGTGTGCATGCTCATAAAATCTAATAGAAGCGAAACTTGTTCAAGCATTTCAATGGACGGTATGATACTTAAATTAATGGGGGAATATTGTTATCACATATGCCTATTATACATAATAATACAGGCCTACCCAAGAAGAGGTAAGGATTAACATGCAATTCACAGAAAGAAAGGAAACGGTATTAAATTTACAAAAATGAACCAAAGAAGGGCTTGTAAGAGTCCACGATTTCAACATGATAGATGTTAAGGGTGTGTAATTAATATGGATAATGTAGAAATTTAGATAAGTACTTGATTTCAAGGTCATATTACTTGTAGAAATTTGCATATAATATAAATTGAATAATAGATGTTCCTCGTTTCTTTCATGTCCTAGTCATTACTGATGAAACATTATTGTGTAGCAGGCGTCATAATTGTTAGATACCTATACATTTAATAACAGTGAAAATAACGCAAAAACACCATATACGTAAACAAAAATTAACAACCTGCATATATACAAAATTATTCATGCATTATAGTAATCTGGCTAGTAACAATATTTAGTTATTCATCTCTTCATTTATTCATTCTTTAAATTAATACGTAGGTGTAGTATTTCAATGTCTTGTAGTGTATACGGTGTATATCAGCGGTGCAATATCTAGTTAATTTTCTATTTTTTAAAGATAATTTGTATTACCCTACCTACCATAAAGGATTAGTGGCAAACTCACCTGTTATCTTCTTTATTGTCTTGATCCATTCTGGGTAACATAGACATTGAGACGGGCTGAAGATGTAAATGAGAAAATGCACCGATTCAGAATCGTTATTATACGTGGTGATGAATAAAGGGTTCATGATAAGAAAATGCATACAATTTGATTTTGCAACTCACCCCCTACCGAAAGCAACTTTAAAGAAAATAAATTGCGTGTATTTGTTATACACCACAATAATAATAATCGTTCATAGTATTCTAACACGCAAACCTTTTGCATATCAGAATGCAAATGTTCTCGGTCAGTCGGTACGCTCTTTCGAATGTTAGAAGATGCAATGTTTCTTAGCACCGTAAACATTTTGTGTAGAATATGCATCGGATGAGGGGGCAGGTGCTTCCATTTATCAATGGATGGGGAAATACTTCTTGCGCCTAAATAACGATAAATAAATTTCAGTAAAGCTTTCAGTTATAAGAGGTCTGAAATGCAGTTTTACCCTTCCTTCCGTATTGTACTTAAAATGGATCCTACGATCCTGTACATTATATACGCAAAACAACAACACATACATAAATAAATAATAGGCGTATGTTGCATATACCATGTCTTCCAGAGGAGTTAAATGAGAGGGCCATTATGTTGCCCTCAATTAACATGATTAAGGGGACGGCTAAATCGTTTCTGCTCCTAGCAGTATAACTTACATCTCTTATCACAGTGAAAATACAACGCTTCAACATGCAATTATCTGACTTGTTGTATGTTTGTTTCAAGTAATAATAATAAATTTTGACCCCCTCAATGGGTACCTTCTTTGGGGCAAGTGCTAATCTTTACAAAAACAGGTAGAAATTAGTGTTTGATTTTTTTTTGTACACTCATTATTTTGTCCCCCCCCCCCCAAAAAAAAATATATATATATATATATATATAAAATAAAATAAAAAAAATACAAGATACAAAATACAAAATACAAAATACAAAATTCAAAAAAACAGTGGGAAATACAAACTTTCATGATTCAGAATCATTTTTTTTCTCTTCTAACTTAGGCGCCGGGTTCTCGAGCATACTCATAGAAAGAAATATTTCCAAAACCTACACACTTTATGCCAAAGCCCTTGAAGTGTGCAGGTAGGGGCTCACCGTATATTATGGGTAAAGGTAAACTCATGTTTGTCGCACGGCACGCGTATCAACATTGTTATGCATACATGTAATTCATTACAAATTGCAGCATATCGATAAGTTCTAAGCGCTCTCTCCTAAATTTAATTCTTGTTCCTCGCACCTCCGTAAATCGCATATTAATACATGGAATATTTCTTACCCGTAAGCTTAATTTCGCTGAAAGCTCTATCTGCTGAGAATGGCATATGCTCAATCTCTTTTTCATGATTTTGAAGTAGTCTGTAATTTGTCTATGTGTGTGAATGTAGTCTTGATTAAAATTAATTGCAGTACCGTAGAAGCGTGCGAGGGTGTTTTTTTACTCGGTCGCTCCGCTCACTCTCCTCGTAATAAACTTACTTTAAAGTGATAAGATCCTAAGTACTATAGAGAAAGTGTTTTATTAGGAATGCTCTTCCTTATGAATTAAAATGGAGATTCTGAATATTCTTTTATTTGCTTACAAGTGCGTTTAAAAATTGCTCAAGAAAAGTGTGATTCAAAACCCATTGATTCCCATTAGGCCTGTGGATGCTATTCTTGACAGTGCTCCTTTTCTACATTCCACCTTCACCATACCCTTGTATCTTATCATGCCTAATGAGTGGTGAACACATCAATCGATAAATATATACAAAAAGGACGGCTTGTTTCGGCGGGTTTTGATGTATATGCAGGAGGTATTACGATTAGGTTCTTTTCGGAACCTTGAACCATAATGCATGGCCCTACAGAGGAATTTTTCCTGTTGGGGACTGGGGGGAAATGCAATGAATTATTGAAAAATTATTGAATTTTCCTTGTTTTTTTTTTTTTTGTGGGGGCGTCGACGTACCCTAGCGCCCGCTGCGTACAGTTATGATTCATTGGCTAAGTAATGGCCTCGTTACTGTGAGCCCCCAGGATCAAAACCGTGTGAATGTGCTATATCATTACCCTTTTATGAGGCATTAATCCCCATTACTGTCAGTTATGACTTAAGGACGTAGGTCCCCTAGTTGATTAGCATAGTAGCACACATATGCTTTAGCAGTCACGCAAAACAAACACTCCCCAATTGTCATTCAATAAAATCTGAGAATGTTTACTATTATCTAGATCTATTAGGAATAAATCATTGTCAAAATCATTCAATAAATTGGGGTAAAAATAATTATTCCACCATTATGACCAACAGTGTATATATAAAGTGCGTAGGAGCTGTAATCGTTCGTAACGGGCATTTAAGAACTTCCTTCTCCTTACCCCCCCCCCCCCTCCTCCCTCTCTCTCTCTCTCTCTCTCCCTCTCTCCCTCCCTCCCTCTCTCTCTCTCTCTCTCTCTCTCAATTTCCTCGTTATTATTTCATGTTTGGTACATCAATATTCATATTTCAGTTTCTTTGCGCATCTTCTTTTCAGTATCTCAACCCATTCCTTCTTCAACCCACTCACTTGTCTCTTTCTCTCTTTTGCTGCCTCCCCGTCGCCACCCCATTACACCCCCCTCTCTCGCTCTCTCTCTCTTTATCCCCCTTTATCAACTTTGTAATGGGGATAATATCATAATTAGCATGTTCATTATGAGTCGTCTTAGTTGCGTAGTGGTATGAAGAACAAGAACAAGAAAAGAAATGATAAGAGATGTTCAATTTATCGGAGATCATTAGGAATAATAACAATAATAACAATCATTATTTAAACATGTTAATAAGTAAATAAGATCGTTTGATCGACCTGTAATTGAAAAACAAGTCAGAAAAAATCTTGGAACCAGCGGGACTTGAACCTGCATCTAATTGCTTGCCGGGCAGCGACTCTACCACCAGGCCATCACTGGTCCATGGCACAGTCACGATGGACTAGAAACAAATACCCAAGCTCTCATGATTTATTCTGACTTATTAATATTCATTAGTCCGACATAGGACAATAACCTTTATAAATGTAATGCTTCCAGGTAAAAATTGCAATTATTTAAACATATTTGTGGCTCACACCC